GGAAGTGGCGCTGTGGCTCAAGTGGTAGAGCGCTAGCCTTGAGCTGAAGAGCTGAGGGACAGCGCCCAGGCCCAGAGTTCAGGCCCCACGACCGGACACAAAAAAATAAAAAATAAAGTGTATAAGTCAGGTAATGAGTTTTTTATTTTTATTTATTTTTTTTTTTTTGGCTGGTGCTGGGGCTTGAACTCTGGGCCTGAGCTGAGCACTGTTTCTTTTGCTCAAGGCTAGTGCTCTACCTCTTGAGCCACAGCGCCACTTCTGGCTTTTTCTGAGTAGTTTATTGGAGACAAGGGTCTCCAGCTTTCCTGCCTGGGCTGGCTTTGAACCATGATCCTCAGATCTCAGCCTCCTGAGTAGCTAGGATTACAGGTGTGAGCCACAGACATAGAGGAAGTTAGAGAGCCAGCCCTGGACATAGCTGGAGGGAAGAGCCTTTTAGGCAGAGAAAAGATCAAGTGTAGATAATTGAAGTATGTGAGAAAGAAGGTGAATTTCAAGCTTTTGGCCTAAGCAACTGAAGGATGCTTTCCTGTTTATTGAGAAGGAAGGAGACTGGGTATATGTAGAGTTGGGATATTGAAAGTTAAGGTTTGAAAATGGTAAATTCAAGATGCCAATTACGAGCAAGTTCAATGGTGTATACCTATAATCTTGACTGAGGCAGAATCACAAGAAGGCCAGTCTGGGCTATATAGCATTCTGGTGGGAAGTGTAAATATGAGCATCATTAAGAGGCAATAATAAAGGTAAGAATCAGAGGGAAGAGGCCAAGCAAGGAGTCCAAGAACCAGAGCCCTGGATGGAAGGCAGGGTGGAGATTAATTCAGTCCTTTATCACTGGTAAGCTCTGTTGGTGTTGGAGATTTTAGACTAAATTTTGGCTTTCAGTGTGCAGAGGACACAAAGTGCCATGCTTTGGAGGGAAGGTGAAACGGTGGGGCTCACACCTGTAACCCACTCAGGAGGCTGAAACCTGAGGATTGCAGTTCAAAGTCCGCCCGGGCAGGAAAGTCCCTGAGAGTCTGATCTCTAATTAACTATCAAAACAAAAGCCAAAAAAACCTGACATGGACCTGTGGCTCAAGTGGTAGAGCACTAGCTTTGAGTACGATAAAGCTCAGGGACAGCACCCAGACCCTGAATTTAAGCCCCAGGGTTTGCACACACATACCCCACTGTGGGGAGAACCCTGTAAGAGTGCCTGAGAAGCAGCAGTGGAAAAGCAGAAAAGGAAGCTTGATTGGTGCTCTGCATATATCTGGAGTTAAAAATCTAGCTGGAAAGCTGACAGGCTGAGGAACTTCCTGCTGGGTTCACTGGTAACCATTAGGAGAGCTGGTTTCAGGGAGTGGTGGGAAAGAATGGATGACCACTGAGAGATCAGGTCCTGTCTCATGGGAAGTGAGTACAGTTCACCTGAACCCTAGATTGGCTCAGGCCAAGGCTCAGGTCTGTTCTGGATACAGCTCCTAGGTGTTAGCTTGTGTTTGTTCTGGTGCAAGTGAGAAGTCAAAGAGCCACCATAGACCTTTGCCAGAAACAGTGACCTACCCAGCTAACATCGGTCTTAAGCCACTTGGTGAGCTGTAAAGGGTTTCTCTCCCATCAGAGCTTCTCTCTTTCCCTTCCTCTTCTCTGTCTTCCCCTTCCCTTTTTGTCCCCTTCCCTCTTCTGTCTGTCTCTGTCTCTCTGTCTCTCTCTCTGTCTTTGTCTCTCTCCAGTTTCTGTTGGTTAATTGAAGATGAGTCTCATGGAATTTCCTACCTGGGCTGTTTTTGAAGCATGATCCTTAGATCTCAGCCTTCTGAGAAGCTAGGATTGTAGGCGTCAACCACCAGCACCCAACTTTTTTTATGCTAGTCCTGGGGCTTGAACTCACGAGGCCTGGGCACTGTCCCTGAGCTTCTTCTTTTTGTTTTTTTTTGTTTGTTTGTTTTGTTTTTGGGTCCAGTTGTGGGATCTGAACTCTGGGCCTGGGTGCTGTCCCTCAGCTCTTCAGCTCAAGGCTAGTGCTCTACCACTTGAGCCACAGAGCCACTTCTGGCTTTTTCTGCTTATGTGGTGCTGAGGAATTGAACCCAGAGCCTCATGCATGCAAGGCAAGCACTACCATTGAGCCACCTGCCCAGCTCCCAGCTAGGATTACAGGTTTATGCCACCATGGTTGACCTGTGCAGTGCTAGTTTAAGAGCACAGAGAGTAGGTAGAACAGGTGGCATATAGTTCAGTAGGAGCAAAGCCATCACTGCAAATACTTGGGGAGCACTGGTCAAGGCTAGTTGTGAGGGGGTCAGAGCGTGTTTTGAAGACCTGCTCTTCAACATGTAGAGGAACCAGCAGGTGAGCCACTGACAGAATATCTTTTCTCCCCCGTGGGGACCAGAAGATGATAAAATTTAGTGTCATGAAAATCAAGTACAGTTACAGCCAACCATCAGGAGTATGTCACAGGAATGATGTCACCAAATAGTCAAGAGTTCTGGGCAGATGTCCAGAGACTGGCAACCTGGGAAACATGGAACCTAAGACCCAGGACTAATAGAGGTATAGAGGCATTAGTGGCGTAGTAATGCTAGGCACACAGGCTTTGTGCACGTGCCTGGAGCTTTGTGAGATCTGGTGGGAAGAACGCTGCATGGCCCTCACCTGCCCCACATAGATGTGTTCTAAGCATCATTTCCAGCCATGGGCATCTTTACAGACATTTTCCTTCCATCCTCAGTAACCCAACAGGAGAAGACCCCGCCGCCTCGGCCCAACCTTTTGGAGGCAGGTGGAGATGGCTGTGAAGAGCCCAAGCAGCAAGTGTCTTGGGAACAGGAGTTTCTGGTGGGAAACAGCCCTGGAGGCGGTGGGCGGACACTGTGCATGGTGTGTGGGTCAGAGATCCGGTTCCCCTCGGCCGAAACAGCACGCATGCACATTCTGGAGCAGCATCCACACACCCTAGATCTGAGCCGCTCTGAGAAGAACAACATCCTGGAGGCCTGGAGTGAAGGAGTGGCCCTTTTGCAAGATGTCCAAGCTGAGCAGCCATCCCTACCGAGCCCAGGTAGGGAGGGTGGGGGCCGAGGGAGAAGCAGGGCCCGTGGGAGCCCTGGGAGCTCAGTGGGCCTTTGCCCCTTCAGAATCGGGCCAGGATGTCCAGCCAGATCCAGACTCCAACCCGAACCCTGCCAGGATGCCAGCAGAGATCGTGGTCCTCCTGGACTCCGAGGACAACCCTCTCCCTAAAAGGAGCCGGCCTAGAGGACTCCGCCCCCTTGAGCTGCTTGGTCAGTCAACAGGGGACCTTGGGAAGGCGGTGTGGGCGGGGGTGAGGGGTGAAGCACAAGCCCTATGATCTAGGCTGGGGCAGGAAGGTGTTGTTAGGAGCCTGAGGCTGTGGGGTTCAGGCATGGTGGCCTCATCTTTTATTTTGCAGCTGCCCCTGCGACAGAGCCAGGAAATAATAAGAAGTCCCGCACTCAGAGATGGAAGGAACCCTCTGGGGAAGAGCCTGTGAGAAAGAAGAGAGGAAGGCCAGTGACCAAAAACTTGGATCCTGACCCAGGTAAGTGTTGGCCCTGGCTACATAGTGTAGGCATGGCTAGGCAGGGGGCATCTGCAGCTCTCTGGGGGTAAAAGCTGACCATTCTTGCTGTCCTCCATCCCAGACCCTCCGTCCCCAGACTCACCAGCTGAAGCATTCGCAGCACCAGCTGAGGTCCGCCACTTCACTGATGGCACCTTCCCTCCTGGCTTCGTCCTCCAGCTCTTTTCTCATACCCAGCTTAGAGCCACAGACAACAAGGACTGTCCTAAAGAGGGCCAGGCAGCAGGAGAAGGCCTACCCCAGGCAGTAAGCCCCTCTTCAGGTGAGCCCTTCTGAGGGGACCATAAGGGAGGAGGGCAGGCAGTATCCTGGGTTCCAACCTCTGAAGTTGCTCTGTAGTACAGCCCAGGCTAAACAACTGAGCATTTCCCAGTGTTCTCAGGACTTTTCTGGAGGTGGTCATTAGGTTGGTCATCTCCTGAAAAGCCTTGACCTCCAGTTGTACTCGTAAAGCTCTCTCCAGCTGGAGCCCAAGAGGAACCCACCTTACCTTCACCATGGTGCAGAAGCAGCCCAAATGGGGTGTTTGTCAATTCCCACAAATGTTAAGCTAGATGTATGTGTCTGTAATCACAGCACTTGGGAGGCTGAGGCAAGATGATTAAGAGTATAAGGCTAGCCTGGGCTAAGTAGTGAGACCTGTTTCAGAAACCATAAGGTATCGAGGACATAGGTAAGAAGACCACATAGATACTCCCTAGAGATACCAGTTCTATGATGGCAAGTGCTTATGTTTGCATCTGTCCACTGATTTTAAGAAGCTTCTGTACAGTTCATTTGGGCCTCACAAAAACGCTTTGTAAAGGCAGGCATGGTGACACAGTCTATAATCCTAGCACTCAAGAAGCTAAAATGGAGGGATTGTGAATGAGTTTAGTGAGACCTTATCTCAAAAACAAAACAAAAACTTAATATGAAAAGGGCAAGTATCCCTTTGTCTAGATGGAGAAGCTGAGTTTCAAAAGATGGCTCTTTCCTCCCCATAGTCCGCTGTATGAGTTTCCCACTTGCTGCTGAAATAACTTACTACAAACTTCGTGGCTTAAAACAGCACATATTTATGTTATAGTCAGAAGACCAAAATGAGTCTCCCTAAGCTAAATGTAAGGTATTGGCAGGCTGTGTTTATTTCTGGAAGCTGTAGGAAAAAATCTGTTTTCTTGCCTTCCTAACTTTTGGAGTCTTCCCGTATTCCTTGGTTTGTGGCCTCTTCATATTCTCAAAGCCAGCAGTGGCTAGTAGAGGTTCTCAAGATGCCATCTTTGAGTCATCTAACTTTCTTCCTCATTTAAGGACCCTTGTGTTTACAGTGAACATTTTCAAATAATCCAGACAGATCTATTTATCCATTTTTGTAGTTTGGAGCATAGAACCCAGAGTCTGGCATAGGCTAGGCAAGTGCCCATTTCTTCTTCTAAGTCAGCTGATTAACAGCCTTAATTGTATGTTCAACTTAATTCCCCCTTGCTGTATAATAAGACATTTGCAGGTTCTGAGGATTCACTGGCATTGGCTCTTAACAGTTTGATTACTTTCTTCTGCTTCTTCGCAAAGCTCCGTGTGTCTGTATTTGTGTTTGCTTTTGTTTACTTATTTACCAAAACAGGCCCCCTTTTCTCCTCTCAAGACAGGCCTCACCCCTTCACGTAGATCACAGTTCTAACTGTCTCAAGTTTCAGCTTGAGTCACGTTCCAATGCTGCCTCCCTGGGTTCACTCGGCCCACTTGGACTTGAGTGTTTCCGAGTCTCCGCTCACCCATGGATCTCCTAGATGGCTGGCCTCTCCACTGTGTAATGGATCTTCCAGTCTCATGCTTGAAGCGGGCCTTCGTTTCCTGTCCCAGGGTGCCCTGTGCCCAAACTACCTGTCTGGGGTGGTGAGTAGAGGAGCAGAGAATCCTTGAGGTTTAAGTTTGTTTGGGGTGAGTGGGTACAGTGGACGGATGGGGCTCCATAAGCCTACAAATGTTAGGAGAGGGCCAGAGGAGGGTAGCTGTGTGTTGTTGGCAACAACATGATTTGTGGGGCTTGGAGATGGTCTGGGAACTATACTTAAGCACACTTAAGTAATACAATGACAAAGGTCATGGCACTTGCTCCCAAGGGAAGTTCTGGAGAATAAGAGGCACAAGGCAGGCTTTGGTCCAGAAAACTCAAGTCTGTTGGGAGCTAACTCACTGGTGGTAGGGAGGCCCCATGCTGGAGGAACCCAGAGCCTGGACAGATTTCTCAAACCAAGAAGGTTCTTTTCTGTATGCTTGTATATGTGGTGACATTCTCTAAAGATCGGGAGGAATGATCCTATCATTTAAAAAAAATAATAAAAAGTTTATTTTTTTTAGCGCTTAGAAACGATTCCTCAGCACCACATAAGCAGAAAAAAAAAACCGGAAGTGGTGCTATGGCTCAAATGGTAGAGCGCTAGCCTTGAGCTGAAGAGCTGAGGGACAGCGCCCAGACCCAGAGTTCAGACCCCACGACCAGATCCAAAAATAAATAAATAAAGAAATGGCTTTGGAGCCGGGCGTTGGTGGCTCACGCCTGTAATCCTAGCTACTCAGGAGGCTGAGATCTGAGGATCGCGGTTCAAAGCCAGCCCGGGCAGGAGAGACCGTGA